AAAGCGTTATCTCGTCAAGAACAATACTAAAAACATATAGTTGCAGTCTCTGTAATAATTGAATTAAAGTAAAAAAACTTCTTTAGACCTTTGAAAAGGCATGTTTAACGGTTTAAATCTCGAAATATATTAGTTAACTAGTTTAAAATTAATTTACAGACTTTCCACATTCTTTCACCTTCTATTATTTTAACTGTAACAGAAATTCATTTATTATTTCGCCTTAGAACAAGGTCTAACAATCCGTTAGGAATAATTAGGAATTTCTTCCTTAAACAAAATTTATTTTCATCCCTATTTTACTTATGAGGATCTTATTGGTTTTACTATTATTTTTTAAACCGTTAAAAGTGGTTTAATCGCGTAAACTATATACAATATCTACTTTCTCAAGAACTGACTACAACTACTTACTTAAACTTTGTAAAGTACGGCGTATAAAGTTAAGCTATGACATATGAAAATAATAAAATCCTGTGTAACTCGAAAGTTAAAGTTCCTGTTAAGTTACGGACAATATTGGAAAGTAAATTGAAGCAGAAATAGTCTTTATATACATAAAAATAAGAGCTACAAGACACACTTTGATCGTTAATAAATTTCCTACAACTTTTAATGGCTTGGCGCCGGAAGTTGGCCATAATTTTTCACTCAACTTTTCCGGTATTTTCTAAGTATTCGTTCTGTAATTACGTTTTATCAAAAGTGACTTTAATGACAATTATGAGAATATTAATTGACAAAATATAACAGTAAGGTAACCGGGTAAACAATAAAGATTTTAAAGATAATGTCGTAAGTGGCGATTCAGTGCTTTTTCTCTTGATACTCTCATTTGAATGTCATTTTATACGTATAAGAATGAGACAAAACGCCTTATAGCTGTCATTCTTAAAACACTGACTAAGAAAGGTCTTTACAGGCCACTATGTGTCTTTACAGCACATAAACAAAGCCTGTTTATTATCCCTTATTGTTTAACATAGCTCATAATCATCCCATGTTTGTTGTAATTGAAGATTTGGGGCCTTATGAATGTTTAACACAAGTAGTAATTTTTTAGTTTTATCACGTATGACCTCATAATGTTTTAAAATGAAAAAAGAAACAAATCGGCTGCACACACCGCTGAAAAATCTAAACTAAACAGCTATTATTATTTTTCTTAGGTTCTGAGATGTTTTTTACACACTTCCAAGTCCATTGTCCATCTTTCCTGATTTTTCATTGTCTGAAATGAACGTCGTGGTTGATGTGGTAGAAAAGAGTGTAAAAATAATAATAATTCCTCTTTTCACTCTCATTTTTTGATGTCAATCGCCATCTTTGTAAATCAACATTAAACAGAAATCCGATATACATTGTAACAGACGCTCTATCCATAAATCCTCTTCATAAAGAACCTTTTTGTGACTTATATTAGACCGTTAGTAAGCTTTTCGCATATAACCGGCTATTCGTCTCTAAAGTGCACTGAGTAACGGAACTCCGGGCGACAATTAAACTGGGATAACAGGCGCGGAACAGGATAAAAATGGCACTAGATTCATGCAGCAATATTCATTTGATTTAACACGAACGGATTGAAAAAAGTTATAACTGCAGTGCTGTTTTAGTCGTGCCCGATAGCGTAGGTTTTTTTTTTTCATTTAAGTCCAAGATAATTCAGATGTGAAATTTTGTATACTGAAACTGGAATGTTACTAAAGTGATCGTTCAAATGTTGTCCGTTAAAAAACTATACCCTGATACGTAGGAAATCATGTTAAGAAAATAGGTAGTAATTTAAATGTTAAAACTAGAGGAAAGAGAGTGATAAAAAGGTTATTTTGAAGAAAAGACGAACTCATTGTAAAAAGTAGGGTAGCATTACCTGTTTCTAGCTAACATCAAACCAAACCTAGGACAAGCTTTAATAATGGCGTAATAAGTATTATGTATATTATTATTATTATATATCTAATGAAACACGTTTTAACGGTTTAAAACGTGAAGTATGTTTGCGAAACGTGAAGTATTTTCCCCTGCTCTCCTGTGACCACCGCGCCTGCACAACATACAAAACGTGGGATCGCAGTTAAAATAATTATATTTATAAGCCGTTAAAGTGTCTCGCTGTAAACTACAATATTTATTTTCATACTTTGATTTTTGCCATTGAGTTAATACAGTTTATTAATTTAACGATCAATCGGCTAAATGCGGTCTCGTTATGATTTTGAATACATCATCTAAATTACACAATATCTGATTATGAGCTATCATGTGATTGACAGTGGGAGTGATTTGAATTTTAATAGCAATTACGTAATGAATATCCCGATACTAAATACGTATCATTCCAGTAAACAAATCTACGTAATGTCGATACTGTAACGAGCATTGATTATTGAATTGTATTTATCTTTGAACCAAACATATATAATACGTTGTAAAAATAATTCTTGATGGCGTTGTTCTTTTTTATTATTACGATTAAGGAGGACAGAGAAGCATGGGGGTTCGCTTGATAGCTAAGTTAGATACGCTATCGATCTATTTTGGTTTTGGATATTCAGAAATTTACAGACTAAAGCCGAAACGCGATTAAACTCGACGATGCTTTTTTACCTGTGTACGGTTTGGGACCCGGACGGAATTTCGATATTTCTGTAAGCCATTTAATATCTAGACAACGTTCAACATGTTACAGATGAAAGAGATTGAATCCATGATCCGTTGATTATTACATACATTGCTAATATTACACCAACGACCCCCGTCAAAAAATGAATTGCGGTAAGTGCAAGAAAGACTTCTAAGGAAAACGATGAGCGTGTTGATAAAATTCTAAAGGAAACTATCACGAATCTGGATGTCCCTAGTCACCGTCGGAAACTTGAGTGAAATACCACTTCCCCTCGTGGGACATGGGGCGAACGCATTTCTGTGTCCGTTTCACTGATCCGTTCTTTAACAGGCAAGTAGTTGATCAGACTTCTGTGCCCTGCCTGACCGAAACAATTTATTGCCTATCGCGCTTAACGCAATGCTAGGCTACGGTAGCGGTCAACATAGGGAATAATAGGCCATTCATTATTTTTGACAGCCAGCGTATCCCAATTAACATTGCTTATTACGTTAAGCACGATACCCTGGGGTCGGATGTTTCGGCTGGGTAGGACACAAAAGCCAGATCAACTACTTGCCCGTGAACAATATTGAACAGTGAAACGGATACAGAAAAGTGTTCGCTCTATACTGTACAGTGGTTAACGGGATTTCACATTAAACTTACCGTCAGTTGATTAAAAATAGATTTGAAACCAAAATGATGCCTAAATGTTTATATTCCTAAAGCCGGGTTTATCAGTTAATTTATATCATTCGTGTAATGAGTAAATCCAAAACTATTAAATCATAATTAATTATACCTAATTACTAACTAATTTGCGGCCTTACTAAGTGTTATCATGTTCATTAATTATATTTGGAATAGCAGCTTATATCGTACATATGTACTTTAATATATTGTATGAAACATTAAGCAAATACAAGGGAATCTCTGTCAGTTGTATGTAATCTCAGCATCTTAAAAACCTCAAACTCATGAAATACAATTGCGGTTAGATAATTCCGAGAAAATTTCCTTAACCCTCTTTAAGGGCTGCTATACAAGAGCCTGTACTCCGTCCTAATGTTATTTAAAAAGTTATCACCATCATAGACTCTTTAACAGTTCCCACATGAGACACAGGCCTTCTAAAACAGGTCAATTCAGCCGTTCAGTGTCCACAGCTGGACATAGACCTCCCCCCTAGACTTCCAGTACGACCGGTCGTTCGCTAGTTGAATCCAGCGTTTCCCAGCTACCTTGACCAGGTCGTCGGTCCACCTTCTAAAGCAGGTACACGGATCTTAATGTTTACACACGCATCATTTTGACTACAGCAAACTGGCACTACTAACAAGCTGTCAAATTGTTTGATCTAACCGATGAAAAATGAACCGCCGATCTAAAGAACAACTTGCTCCCTTTTTTATATGACATGTAGATGAAGTAGTAAATATGATAATTAAAGGCTTGTTCTCCCTAATCATAGTAACAAGACATGATACTAAGTTGATAATAGGTTTCATAATATTGTTGCTAAATTGCTCATTTTTCTTTTATCTTTTATATTAATTGCATAGCATCGTTGTGCTTGTCTTTAATACATAATCGTCATATAAATTATATTAAGTCTTTTATTAAGCTTAGATTAAGCTTCTATCCATTTAGTTGGTAAAATTACTTTTATGATTTCGTATATAACAAGCCTAAATAAACTTTCCAAAGAGTCTTTATACCACACTTATTCAGCTATATAATGTAATTGCTCAAAGTTTCAGTTAATTATTGTACAGTCAGGGCCCGTAGTAATTGGCATGAGCTGTCGCGAGTTACTAACAACCCTTGATAACAGAGTTTGACAGCCCTGAACGGTTTAATTGATAAGCGGTAGAATTTGTAATCCTTAAGGAATTTCTCGGAAACTACGGCAACTCAACAATTCATTTTTAACTAGTTATGCGCAGTTACGAAATTCCCTAACAGTTATGCGTCTTGACAATAACTTTTATTGTTCTCTATTTTAATTTATCTTGCTTATTGTTTATATTTTTGTATATATATATTATATGTACTAACTAGTTTAAATGTAAAACATGAAAATAAGAAGAGAACTTTGTTTTTAAATTTTTAAAATTTCATTCTATATTCTGTCCTATATAATATATACTCGGTAATTATGAGCTTACTGACTATATACATATAATACTATTTGGTTCGTACAAAGTTTATATTTGCAATAAGAACGTAATATAATGTACAATTTTATTTTCTAAATGCTTGTAGTCATATGGAACATCACTGTTAGACAAGTAAATACTAATAACCCACATTACATAAGCATCGTAGCTATATTTGCTATTTAAAGGTAATCATAAAATTAATAATGAAACCTAAAATAAAATTGTCCTTATTTTGGTTCCACCTTTTTAACCGTTCCTGTACTAGTTTCGGTATCATTAGATGAACCGGAAGTAGAATGTTCCAACTTGGTATCACTTTTATGGCTACTTTTTACTCTATGCAAAATCGCACCAGGCTTTTTCCTTTTTTGTTTAATTTTGACAGATTTTTCTGGTGGTCTGTTTATACTTTCACTTCTATTTTTTAATTTATTTAAACTAAAATTAGGTTTTATCTGCGCTGTTTCCTCTAAACTACTCACATCAGGAAGATGTAAATCAGAAATGCAAACATAATCACTACTGTTCTGTGTTTGTACAGTGTTTAACTTCACTGGTACAATTTCCACTTTTCGTAATACAGTTTCTGGTCCTTTTGAGTCCAAGACGTCTTCAGTAGGAGAATCTACCCCACCCACCAGCTCTTGTATTAATTTATCTTCAAACTCATCTTCATCGATAATATCATCATCATCTTCATCTGAATAATAAGACGAAAAAGACGTAATTGATCCCGAATGAAAATCGTCAGGTAATCTAACTCTTGGTGTGTTTGATGGAATTTCAATTTGACTTAAAGATGGTTTTATAATAATCTTTGGCTCAGGTGAAATATCACTCGAAGCAATTATAACTTTAGGGAAATTTCTATGTCTTGAAGATGTATTAGATTCCATTTCATTATGAGACGGTTTGAAGTCAATTTTGTTTTCCATGAATTTCGATTTAAAATTTTCTGAAAGAGGTGATAAGTTATCGATGTTCTCATAGTTAGAGGTTTCTTTAATCTTGCTTGGTGCGTCAAAAGATGACAACATTTTTGTATTCTTATATGCAAGTCGCCGTTCTAAAGTTGTTGTTCTAGGAGGAGGCTGCGGTGGAACCTTCGGTTTTTCTACGGTAAAATCGGCAGGACCACGGAAACTTTGTAAAGTCGGTTGTAAAGACAGTCTTTTTTTAGTTTTAGGTAAGTCTGGCAAAACTTTTGGAAAGTTTCGTCGTTTTATTGTTAGCAATGCTTCTTCAGGCGATAAAGGCCGAGAATGTTTACCATCATATGACGTTACATTTACTTCATTTCTAAAAGTAATCGGCGGGAGTACATACATTGCCTCTTTTTGTAGTTGCTTCATTAATTGTTCATAATTTACATCTGTAACTGGGTCAGATGTGGAATGTTTGTGAGATATTTTTAAAGGTAATGGGTTTTGTAATGACAGTGTTACCTCATTCGTGTATGTTGTATTTCCTTCTACAGGAATAGACCTTTCAAAATCAAAAGATTTAGGTGCTTTTATGATTTGAGAATAAGTGTCTTCTCCAACGGTATGCGATCTATGTAATTTATTCTCAGTTATTTGAACGCCTTTATCAATGACATCGAAAGATTTAGATAATTCAATTGGTTCTTGTTTTAATATTGAAGTAGTTCGTGCAGCTGGTGTAGCATCGATTGCCACGGAAACTTTTTTTGACTTCATGCTGTCGGACTTGCTCTTAATTGATTCATTCGACTTACTGGTTTTACTATTTGCTTTTTTGTTGCTAACAATTGACGAATGGGAATCGAGTGCAGAAGTTGAAGTTGTTTTTTCTGAAGTCTTGTTTTTGTAATTTTTTGACAGTAAATTAGTAGGGTCGGCATCAATTTTATCAACTTTCCTTTTCTTATCGGTCAACAATTCTTCAGATCGTGTGAACGGTTTAGTTTTATCGTGTACGTCAGATTGGGATTTTCTTAAAATGCTCGGTGAACATCTATGCATTACTTCGTTCGTTATCCAGTCTCTAACTTTAGTATGAGCGTCTAAGGTGCTTGTGGACAAATGTCTCCTCAATTGGAATCGTTCTCTGAAACCGCCCGAATCATCCGACTTCGGGGTCTTACACTCCTTGTTAAGTTTCTTCTTTGGAATTTTTATTGACTTAATAACGCTGCAGCCATTTTTAAGCTTTTGAAGGGCACTTTTGTCGGAACTTTTCTGCCCGATTATATCTACTTCACCTATTTCCGAAGGACGCTCAAGAGTTTGAAGTCGTAATCTCCGCTTTTTAAAATACAATACGGCGCATATACTTACATTTACCGCCAAGAATAAAACCGCTAGGGAAATAATGAGGGTGACGGTTGTACTTGACGTTTTAGCTATATTTAATGTGGGTTTCTCGGTATGTTTTTCCATTAAATGTGGCGGGACGGGTCTTGATGGGGTTTTTATCGACTGTATCTCCCTGTATATTGCATCTGTGTCCGGTTTGTGCTCGGGTGGGGAGTACGGACGCAATTTTCCATATGATGGCAACCCGTAGTGGGGCTGGGGCTGATTAATGATTGGCGGTGGTGACCATATTTTTCTGACAGTATCTGCAAAGCAACATTTATATTCATGTCACTTTTATATCCCATAATAGAATACAACAGTTTTATTTATAAACGTATAATATGATATATATTACTTACCTAAAGCACTTCTATGAGGTACGGGTTTGGGTTTAAGCGTCGTGCTGGATGTGAAAGCATATAGCGGATCTATGACGTATCTGCTAAGTTTGTTTGGCAATGTCTCAATCCAGAAGTTGGTGTAATTAGAACGATACAGACTGTTGACGGAAGGTGGTATATCTGTATGTAAAATATGTGGCATTAGCATTTGCGAGGAGTATAATTATATTTTCATTTACATAACATACTTTAAATATAGTAAAATATTGCCTCCCATATATGCGCATTTTGTTGCTTTTTTTTAATTTTTTATGCGAGATCATATAAAAGAAGAAAACAACGAAAGAAGAACTAGAAACGAAGCTATAAAGCCAAAATTATCATTGAAAACGTTTACTAGCTTTTTTCTATTCTCTCCTTGTGACATATGCAGGTTATAATATTCGTAGTAATAATTAATAAGCATTCTTATTACTTACCTAGTCTTAAATACGGTTGGTGTGCAAAATTATATTCAGGCCATTCTACATTGTATTGGTTCCAGATTTTTCTGTCTAAAGTAAGATATTCGTTTATTCTCTGAGTATTTGGTGACCTGTATAGGAAAAATTAAGGTATTTCCAATATCATTTTTTTTCTTAGAAATAAAACTTATTAATGAGTACATGGGATTGAGTTCTGCAAAGTTATATATACATATAAGATATTAAAAATCTTACCCATTCTTCACGAAATTTGTCCAAAGCCGCATAACCACCTCGCTTAGTAATTTTTCCCGTAACGTATATTCAGAGTGAAAATGTGAATTAGCGCCACCTAGCGGTATCCCGAGAACATACGGCAACTCTTCGCCGTGAACGCTTTTGTTAAGCTGTAAAGAAATGTTTTTAATTCATTTCCTTTGCATTCAATTGAACATAGGAAGACATATGCTGAAACTAAAACGATAAATAACATGACAGTAACAATACATTTTTTTTTACTAGCTAAACATAAGCTCGTCTTTTGTTTTATATGTGCTCACATTCACAAAAATGTACATAGTTGAATTAGAAGATTGGGTTTCGTAAAACTACGTTTGAAAACTTTATAATTTTTCTCACGATGGCATTATATAACTTAACGTAAAACTAATTTAATATTGCATAAAAGGAATTGTTTTTTTTTCGTAAGCTCAACATTGGCACATAAGCTGTGCAAAGTGTCTTTCAATATCCGCTTTTTACCGCGGCCCCGTTTTAATTTCGAAAATATTTGTCGTTTTCACCCAACTCCAATATCGAATGTAAATATTGAACCCAACTTGCAGCCGATATTACTCTCCGCGTTTCATATCTGATTTGCTGATGCGTAAATATTTTGTTTACACGTAATTGGATGAAACTCGAGTCGTCGAGGCAAAAAAATATAGAGTTATATGTGCCAACTTTCAAGTGCTAGTAATTATAGATGGCGTCGGATTTTGAGAAAGTACTTAGTAATTATTACGAATACATTTTTGTAACTGTTTTCTGTATAATAGAAATTGCTTTCTGGAACTAATTAGAACTAGGAATTTGTAGTAAGAAGTTCTTAGAACTATATAAATTAAAAATCGATTATAAATTGAAAAAAATACTACTCGGACAGGACTTGAACCGGCATCCTCAGCGTTCCGTGCTGGTGCTCTAACGAAACATGTGAAAAACAGTTATTAGAACTAATTAAAACCAAATTTTAACTATATATTTATAATTAAAGTAAACAATAATAAAAAAAATCCACTGATTAAAAAGATCGACAGCACATCTTGTTAAGATAGTTTAGATAGTATATCTTATACAATAATACATATAATAATATGTCGTAACATATTATTCTATTTATTATATGTCTATTTCTACGATTATATTTTAATACAATCTCCGATGACAGTAAGACCATTCAGACTGGCCATATGTACCTATATGACCTTCACGCTTTTATCTAGTGTTTGCCTACAAAAGCATTACTTCCATTTAATTGAGCCGTCATTGTTTTAAACACCTGTTGGATTTTAAACCATTTTTTGAGCGTGTCCAAAAGTTTTTGCATTCTGAATATTTAACAATGATAATGGAGTTTTTTAAACGACGCGAAATTTCGTTCTGAACAGTTTTATTACTGAAAAATTTTACTGCGGGAATAAAATGATAATGCGGTTTTCTTGCCAAATGTAAATTGTAATGGACTGTTTAATTACGGCAATATATATTATTACGACTTGATTAAGTTTTTATTTTGACCTGTATTTACTTACTAGATACAATTATGGGTACAACGATATTGTGAAGTCGAACACGTATTACTTTTTTATGATCTATATAGATTTGTAACTTTATTAGAGTACATATAGAAAAGAAAAGATTAAAACAAAGGTTCTATTAGCGACGAAGTACTGTAAGTTAGAGGAAAACACTTAAGCATGGAGTTCATTTCATAGAAGATGGAAAACCCAAGTCATCTAAACGATAGGCACTGTCTACCTATCTTTGGAGGTTCGGAAATACACAGATTGTGACCGAAATATGACTTAATTTCACATATATTTCATCCGTACAGGGTGGTTCCTGACCCGGACGAAATCTAACATTAATAAGCAGCCGTGGTCACGTCTCCCCGTGACCACGGCTGCTGCAAAGCATCCGAAACGTCGGGCCGAAGTTAAAAATCATTTTCAAATAAGTTTAACTAATATATCGCGTTTTAAACCGTTAAAGTGTTTTATTTAAATGTTTACTACTCGCGTAAACTATAGACAGAAATCTAACATGTATAAGGAAATTATAAATTTGTTACATGTTGTACCCGGTGGGGATTGAAGCCACGACCCGTTGATTATTAGTGATACACTGCTCCCATTACACTGACGAAATACATGTAATGTCTAATATAAAAGTCTCTTACCGGTGCATATTCGGTGCTCACAGAATTGTGTGCAAAAACATAAAAATATGATTGTCTATTAGCCTTTGATTGGTAGTTAGCTAGGCTTATCATAGGTGCGAGGGTCCGAGCATCACTAAATAGGTTTAACACTACATCACGGTTGATCTCCACAGACCAGCGCTGAGGGTCCACTTTGGACGGTGAGTATCTGAAACATGTACACTCAAAATATTACTTTATACTTATCTATACAAATGTATAAAGCTGAAGAGTTTATCTGAACGCGCTTATCTCAGGAACAGGTTCGAATTAAAAAAATATGTATGTGTTGTTTACAACATTTATCGAGGAATGTTATAGGTTATATATTAAGGCTATACAACATCGCACTGTGACCAATAGGAGCGAGAAAACAGTAGGAAATGTGGAAAAAACGGGGAAAAATATTCATCTCTGTGGGTTTCCGAAGCATACGCTGGAAAAACGTATGTTTTAAGTTATACTTGAAAGAACGGCGGGAAGGCATGCGATCGACGTCATGGCCAACAGCTTAGCTTTATAAAAATGACGGGGTTTGCAAAAACTAATTTGGATGCCCAAAATAACGATTCTCGCGGACGAAGTCACTGACACAGCTAGTTTTATATACGTAGTAAACGAATCCTTAAAGTATATCAGAATAATTCACTGAATTTCTTCTTGCTACAATTAATTTCAAGACAAAATTAAGTCTAGTTAAGTATTGTATATAGTATACGCTAGTAAACTACAAACAATAGATTTGAATACATAGTTATTTAAATAAAAGATTTTTAACGGTCTAACACACAGAGTATATTAGTTAACGAAGAGACAATGCCTGCTATATTGCTTCCGACACGTAGGCTGTAGAAAAATTAAATTAAAAGTTAGCTAATATATTGTATTTTAAACCGTTAAATTTAATTTAGTTAATTTTATTCAAATTTAAAAGCCAATTTTAGTTAGCCAATTCAGTGATATGTATTTGTTGATTTGTGACCCTCGACATGACATTTATAGGAAGTATAATGACAGTGTATTTTATCCTAGAAGTGGGTTAAGCAAGAAGAAATCAGTCGGGCAGGGCACATACGTTTGATTAACTACTTGCCTGTAATACGATCAGTAAGTCGCTTCAATGTCAATCAGAATTTCAAATTTAGAATTATGTTTTTTTGCGTTAATGCATGGCATAAACTTTGCCAGTCTTAGAATACTGACTCTACAGTGTGCCAAAATCATATGAACTTGTGTATAACAAAATTACTTACAAGAATATGAAATAGCAATATATTTGTAAAAACACATACATGTGTAAGGGCGTCGAATTTCCAGAATAGTTAAGTAGAAAGCTAATTGCGAATTCCATGTAAGTCCACAATTTAATTATACGCGTCGATGCACCACATTACAGAATTCAATTTACAAATGTTTCCAACGAGACGTACACTTGCAAAAAGTCACAGTTTCCAGGGAATCAAGGAGTCAAGATCCTTTGAAAGTTTATTGCAATGCAGTTGATTTCGCTTACTTTTAATTGAATTGTTATAAAAACTGAAAAGCGGTACCTAATTCTTTTTCTGATGTTTCTACCAATTGAGCTACCATGTTTCACTAATAATATTTAAATTATCTCTGTTCATTTAAAATGCTCCTATCATTGTTTTTCATGGTCTAGTTGTGTAAGTTATTCTTAAACCTCGATTTTATCCGTGAAACTATTTAAGGAAAGATCTGTACTCTATTTTTTGTTTTCACTTCTTTATAATAACTAAATAAACTATGATATGTATGTATGTTTCCTGTATTCTTAAATAAATAAATATCTTACAAAATTTATTTCAATATAATCTATCTTATGATAAAATGGATTTTTTTAGACAATGATTAACTACGCAATAAATTTCTTTGACAATTATTCGTTCATTATATTATCTATCTATCGTCTACATTTTGTTTCGATTTAGGCAAACATTAGCTTTAGAACTACGTTTTATATCGTAATAAATAATCAAAGTAAGAAGTTTCTATCTTTTTTTTTGGGTTCTTTCCTTTATATGGTATTTAAATTACGTATTTCTCGGTTTAACTTTGATTCACGTAAAAAATACAGTCTAGTTGCGAATCCTAATCATATTATAAACTAAAATAAACTCACTGTTTCAATATCTCCTTTAACGCTATGGCTTCAGCACCTTCGAAGACAATTTTCGCATATTTTCCAATGAAATCGTCGCGTTGATTTTCCAAAATGCCGTGATCCAATTCAATGACACCAAAGTCGTGATAGCTCTCCAGTTCCGTAACTCCACTGAGTAATTGGTATCTGAAAATTTGATGATTCAAATGATGCAAGACTCCTTCTTAGCGAATTCTCCAAAGCGCTGTTTAACTTTCAAAACTAAAAATACATACATTACACAATTCGACGTGTATGTTAAATAAAAGAAATTTAACGATTTCAAACGTGTCATGTATTAGTTAACTTATGTATAATGTATCCTAAGTTGTAAATAAGTTAACGAATACGTTTTAAATCGTTAATGGTGTTTTATTTAAATGTGTTCTACCGGCGTAAACAACTCTACGTGTAATTTATAAGGAAAAGAGTAATATAATAATAAGTTACAAATTTAATTAAATTTATGAGCCAATATTACTGTTTATTTGGTATGCTGTTAAGCATCAATAATACTAAAAGACCTAATGTTTAGGCTATGGTCACACTAAAGATATTCTCTAGTTTATGGTACGCATTTAAATAAAACACTTTTGTTGGTTTAAAACGCGCCTTATTTACAGCGTTTCTGTCAGTCAATTGTGTGGTCAGTATTTAAAGTAAGCACACTATAAATATTAGGTACTAGCTGACCTGGCAACGGTTTTTTGCCGTATAAAGCCATATTTCGCCCAATATTTTATTACCTAAAAATTAGCCCACAGACTTTACTGTTAAACAATTCAACCAACACAAAAATAGTTTTTAATTTCGAATCTTATATATTTAGCATTTTATAATATTAGCATAGATTTGATGATTTCAACTCGAGTATCAAACGCAACCGAGAGCTTTGGTACTATGTTTAGAACAAATTTAGGCAATCAGCCGACTGTTAGTCGTCTAGTTTACGTATTCACATCCAACATGACTGCTAATGCGTCGAACAAACCAATTTGCCCTAACTTTCGGCCGATAACTGTAGTATGTGTGTAGCATTGAAGATATTGCAAACAACGTTTGATTCTGTTTATTAACATTTAGTGAAATCCCATTTCCACGCATGAACAATGGCCAAACTTATTTTAGTGTCCATTTAACTTATCGTTTCTTTTACAAGCAAGTAACTACTTGATCAACTGATCAGACTCCGTGCCCTGTCCGACCGAAACAATCTTTTGTTTCCCCGGAATCCGAATCTAGGACCTTTGACGCTTAACATAATGCTAGGCAACACGTTTAATCATTCAGCTACGGAGATGCTAGGTTACGCGAGTAATACACATTTAAATAAAACAATTTTAACAATTAAAAACGTGAAATGTATTAGTAAACTCCCTACCCGTGGTCAGGAGGGGGTTGTAACCACGTGCATATATGCTGTAAAGCAACATACACGTCGAGCCGTAGTTAAAATGAATTTTTAATAAATTACCTTATACATTTTGCGTTTTAAAACATTAAAAATTATTTATTTCAAAAATACTATACTCTTACTGTAAGCTGTCTTAGAAGAGAAATATGTTAAGATAAAGCTTCTTTAAGCCTATAGAGTAAATAATGGTAATAATCTCTTAGTATTAAGATAAGCTCAATAAGTAATGAAAAATATTTTGAATGCGATTACCGTACGCGTATTTATCCTCCTTATACAATGTATTTTTATACGAATGTTTTTATTTGAAAGACTTTGATCTCAGCTTTTCTATTCCAAAATGTATTTAAAGCTAAAAGTAAAAGAATTAATGAAATTAGTACTCACTTGCTCAATAAATTGGGAAAAGATTCCATTGTTTTTGCTGGCTCCGTGGGAATAAAAGAACCAGCGACCGCCGGTCCTAACGGAGTCTCGAATTGTCTGGATAAAATTTGGACTTTCTTTATCTCTGATAATCTGAAAAGTGAAATACATTTTGTACTAAGAGAGAAAAAAGTTTATAGTAAAGGTTTATTATATTCAAGAAATTCTGAGAAGCTTCTATCAAGTAAAAATAAATTTTATCATTATTACTGTAAAAAGTTTCCATCATTGAAGCTTTAAAACAATGTTAAATCTTAATTTGTTAAAATATAATTCCTTATCTAACTCTTCTAGCAATTTGTTTAATCAAAGCTTTTGACATTCAAATTTAGTATTTTATTTTAAATTTATAAAACCTCGATTTTATTTAAGTATAAGTTTATTTTAAGTAATTTTAATCCATATTTATAAAATCTAGCTGTAGGCATACCTAATAACAATAACGAATTACGAATAATACAGTCAGAAATGTTATCTAATAAACTGGATCTATCGTACATCTAACTTTCCCTTCCTTGTCACAAATATTATTGAGAAAACTAAGTATATTAATACAAGGTATGGGAAAATGTTATAAAGTTTGTTTATACATATAACCAAGAATGTCTAGAGAAGAAAGAAAAATACATGAATAAAACGAATAAATCCAGATTATTAGAGGGTGATCCACCACAATACAATAGTATTGAATAGTTCATACTAACCAACCTTTTTTTAACTCTATAACTTTGGTATCTATACTGTGAGAATAGATATATAATGGATATTATATTATATTTTACTTTATATATTATATATAGATATATAATATATAAAGGATACTACAAGTCTATAAAAATACCCCCTTTTTAAATAGATCATAATCCTTTCAAGTCTTCTTTCTGATAAATATTTCAATAGATATATAGAGATAGGAAATAGACGCTTACGGCTTATTTTGTAAACATGTCATCATGTTCTTCGAGTTAGGATTACAGCCGAGGCTTTGTGCGACCTGCAGGGTGAACTGTGCTGGATCCTTCGTCATTGCGAAGTCAGATAAAGCCGACCCTGACATTAATATGGCTCGGTGAAATAGACCTGTAATAATACATGTATTGTTAAAACATAAACTTGTACATTATGAACAAAACTTCTTTGTTTAGTCGTTCTCGAAAATACCATCTAATGAAAAATAATAAAAGTATTTCGAAAAAATGAGGATTTAACACTTCGGTATTTTATCTTATAATATGAAATAGAGACTTTAATTATACCGAAGTCAAGAAGGATAAAAATAAATGCATTACTTTGTGGAAATATAGATTATAATATTTCGAGAAAATTAGTTATAAAATAAGCTTCTAAAAAATGTTCCTTTTTTAATTCATAATAAGGGTAGTGTATAAAGAATCATTTATTTTTATTACACAATATCCTTTAGCCATTTGTAATATTCTAAGTATGAATTCCCCTTTTCAAAACTTACCATTAGAAATAGGTGACAGCATCAAGAAGTTGACACAAGCTGCCCCAGTGCCTTGTCCCATCAGGGTCACAGATTTAGGGTCACCGTTTAGATCTTCGATATTATCTTTGATCCATTGTAAAGCAGCAAGTTGGTCAAGAAGACCATTATTACCGTAAGAATGTTCTGTCAGACTGGGTTTCATGAAACCTGAAACAATATATCTTTCAAATTTAGGCATTTATTTTTATTGTACCTAAAACAAAAAAAAAATATTACTTGGTTAACATACTTTTTGAATATTCTCCAACAAAGTAATAAGTAAGTATTGGTCATTAATTCTACGTAGAATAATTAGGAATTTACCTGATTGAGCTTGTTACGGTCTTTATTAAATGTAAAGACCCAGATAAGCTCATTATACAAACCGTAATTAAGTAATCATTACCTCAAATGTTAGTCATCATTAAAGACAATTCGCTAATCTACCTGGTCGACTGAATATAAAAGCTTTACACCTTCCGAAGCAAATCATTCAGTAATCATACTCACAGTAAGAAGAACATCAATCAACATGAAGACCTCAGTGTTATTTATTCTATCTTTCGTCGCTTTAATAAGTGCACAGCCTTTTAATGGCTTAGACATGATGGGAAAAGGACGGCGGTACGGCATGGGTTATGACAACATGAGACCTGGAAGTGGCATCGATTTTGACAATGAAAGACGTTATCCTAGTGAAATGGTACCAGGTGCTGGGATAGTATTTGATGATGGCATGGGTCCAGCTATTGGAATGCCGGGTACCGGAATGGGTTTCGAAAATGGAATGCCTGCTACAGGAATGGCGTTCGAAAACGAAATGAGGCCGGAATATGGTTTAGGTGGAATGAACCGTGGTGGTCCGCGAGGATACGGTTTTGGTCAGTTTGAGAACGGCAAAGAGTTCGCAGGCAGACACTTCAGTAATGGTGCAAGCGGTATGCAAGGACAAGCTTTCAAGAACTCGGGTGGTAAACATTATCACAACATTGGGTCACACCATCATCATGCTAAAACTATCAAGGAAGAGGAAAACGACGAAAGTCACAACATCGGTGGAAGCGAAGGATTCGACAATTCTGCGAAATCTGGCGGCGCTTTCCGGAACTATCAGAATGGAGGCGAAGCTTTTGGAAAGGAGTTCGGTCAAGGATCTGAAGGTGTATCGTTTTAAACAAGTCTTACTTTTACTTATTTCGTTATGTATACCGATTAAATAAATATTGTTATTAATTTGCTACTTTAATTTTAAACTAATTATTTAAAAAATACACTTACCCAGTATACCAAGACGAAAATTAATGGTAATAACCATTACATTTCCATATGAGGCTAAGATACGCCCATCATAAGGATTTCCCGAACTCCACTCGAAGGAGTCTCCGTGGATGAAGACGAGAACAGGAAACTTCTTTGATTTTTGCTCTAAAAATATAATTTTCGATTAATAACGTTTTTTGACTGACAAACTAAGCCAAAAAACACTTAGAAGTCATTCTTAATTATTTGATATATTATATTATTATAATACTGTAAAAATCAATTGGGTATATGATATTGACCACTTTACCATCTATTGCATCTCAAAGGTACTACATCCCACAAAATGGTGTTATGTATACACTGCAATTGACCTTAGATTCTTAAACAGTGACAAAGGGATGAAACTGAATAACCCTGTTTTAAAATTGTTCATAAGAGTAAAACAAGATGGCGCTTCAAGCAATAAAACCTTAATTTTAATATTTGTCAAGTTTTTTAATAATTAGTAATGGTAACTTCGAAAAAATTTCAGCTTATAGGTAAGCTGTAATTTTTTGCTTAATAATTAAATTAAGACTATGTACATATAAGATTTTAATGTTTTCTTGTACAACAATAACCTATCTCCTCTGAAGATATTTTCATTTTAATTTTTGTTTTTGTTTAGGGCCTAACTAAAAATTTATAGAGATATACTTAAAAAATGCTTGTTATTATTTGCCGCGTTGTTTTCTTATCTTCAACTTCTTTACTAAAATTAAGGTTAACTGATTAACGATAATAGTCTTTGTTCTTACATAGAAATCAACTATAGTGCAAATTTATGCATTAAAACAAAAGGTATTTTTGTAATTTCAAAAGAGGTTTATTTAATAGTGAAGTTTATTTTAAGCTAGTGAAAAGTTAATTTCGTCGACGTCATGTAAATCCACTAGAAATACACGTTTTAAATAAAATAGCAGGAACAGGTACATTGGCGGTCTGCCAATGTCGTTACGACAAAATTAAATGGCTCTATTGAAGTCTATGCTAAAATTTTACTTTGCTTAATTAACTCGCATCTATAAGTTTCTCGCAGCGTTTGACGCAAGAGTGGAATAATCATAATTTTCAACTCTCTTGTTTGAACCTTCGATAAAACACTTTTAACGGTTTAAACGCGAAATGTTTTTGTTAAACCTATTATGATCCGACGTTTCGGATGGTTTTGACCACGTGGTTGTGAGTGTGGAGACAAACATCGCGCCGTAGTTAAAATAATTGTGATTATTTAAATATACGTTTCATGTTTTAAGCCGTTAAAAGAGTTTTTTTTGCCTTATAAAATGTTTATTTAATGTCTCTAATTAAATGTAGAACGGGATATTTTTATAATTGGTAACATCTTGCTGAGTGGGGCTTTAACTTTTATTTTAAAGTATTGTAATGTAATGAAATACATACGACCCTTACTTTACTTTCTTGATCCTATATTTTAATAGTTTTGGCTCCATAATAAAAGGTCAAGTAAGTTATAAGTGTACAAAAATTACTTCTTTTTGCCACAGGTTAGATTCAACAAAGAGGTGTAGAACGCTTTCAGAAAGTACGATTTAATTTATTGTCAAGTAGGAAACAAAAATGATTTTAAAATAAAACATTATACTAATCTAAGGGCCCCCGGGATTCAGTAATCAGATTAGGAAAGTTGCCGACATCCCAGTCCACTTCAACGAGCAATTTAACTTATCCACTGACTACAGAACGAAAACTTTGACGTTTAATAAAAAATTCATTTTACCTGCCTGCTGGAACTCCGAACCCTTCAGGCCCCGCGCTAAATTGGTAATTTACGGAACCCCAATGAGGATTTTGATGGATAAAGGAGTAAAATCAACTACTTCTTTCTAGTTTACAAATCGATTTTAGATAAGAAGATAGAAAATTTACGACACGGGCAGGACTTGTAACCGGCATCCATACCGTTCTGTGGTCAAACAATTTAGCTACAGTGTTCTACAGGTCGTCGACGTATTTATTCTACCTATTGATAAATGCACCTCTGGGCAATGTAATTTCAATGTTAATACTTGCGTATTAAGGTTCAATGTCTTATGCTTTGCAGTTAAACATTCTTTCAAACTAAAGAAGGAGGCGTAAATATAAGCTACGAAAAATAACATTATAAGTTATACTGATTAAGCTTAAATAAAAACACTAATATAGTTTTGTTTTATAATTCTTATCTTTAAAATCTGCCCTTTAAGCAAACATAAACCCTGGTGTCCGATAGTAGACTGTGACACCCAACAAGAAGATGAGAACATGACTTTTTCTTGACCTTGGGACCTAACAGGACCAGGGTAGAAGCAGATGGATATAAAAACAAACTATATTAATGTTTAAATAAAACACTTTTAACGATTATAAACGTGAAATGTATTAATAAGACCGACGTTTTGGAGGATTGCAACCTTGACCCCGTGATTACGTAAATAAGAATTAAAACCGCAAATACAAACATTCCGCATTAATACATTTTGCGTTTTAAACCGTTAAAAGCGTTTTATTTTATGGTCCTATTCTCGTTGGGTACAGACAATACTTATGTAAATGTTCGGTATATATAAATGTTATTGCAATGCAATAATTAAGTTACAAGAGACAAAAGTAACCTTAAATTTGAAAGTTACCTTTACCAACGTTATTATTAACTCTCGTCGGACGTCACTAGAATCCACTCGAGCGAAGTACGAAATCAATTTTACTACAATCCGAAATATATAAATGAAATAAAGCTTTCAGAGCCAGTAACCCCATTTCACGAATAAACAGTCGCCAATCAATGTTTCTATTTCGTTCTGCTGAATTCTTTAAATAGTTCTACGGAATTAACGCTGTTTATAGGCTGCCTGCGAAAATGCTTTTAACAATGATAAATATTTTGCTACCAAATTGTGCTTTATGATATTTAAGACGCCTCTATTGAGATATAAATAATATAAATGGACTGAAACCAAAAGACATATTCCTTAACTACACTAATATTCAAAGCTGAAGAGTTTGTTTGTTTGAACAGGCTAATCTCATGAAATACTGGTTAGACAACTCGAACAAAGACAAAAAAAATTTACTCAATGGTAATTATTTCTTCTTTGTTAGAGCATTTTTGGGAAGGCTTTAGGCGATAAAATATCAGGCTACGGTCAATAAGAGCGAAAACATAGGGAAATGTGAAAAAAATGGAATTTACTTTTGATATCTTCCTTAAAGTAATCTAAAAAAATGTCCGCCAGTATATGTTTATCTTAGTGTAAAGATTCTTTCAAATGATATATAAGGCATTATGGTTCATGCATGGTCCAGCAAAGCAATTAACAAGCCTTAATTATTTTTTTCTTCCTATACTTCAGTCAGTCGCTTTTAATTTATAATAAGCACGAAGTTTTTATCTCTTGTATTTTTTGTGGTATGTATTGTGAATAATTAAGCTTTAATAAATAAATAAGCAAGGAGGGTGAAAAATCCCAGTGATATAAAATGTAATTGGATGCACTGTCACCTATGTTGCTTTTGGACATTCTGAAATCCACCAACTAAAAGCTAGCCGAGGATTTCACGGCATTTTCATCTGTGTGTGTCAATTTATTCCTACCTCACATTTAATATACAGATTTTTCATATTTTAGAAAGAGTTTAAATTAACACGTTTAAAAAAAATCACGATAGTTTACGCAAGTAGCACACAATTAAATAAAGCACTTTTATAATGACATTTTATAATGTGAGCAGCGAATCCATGACCCATTGCAACCTATCGCTAAGATGTAATTTTTATTATGTAAGACAACTGTTATAATTTAGGCCATAGGCATTTATGTAAGTAACGTCAATTTGAAGCCTAGCTTACCAAGTACTATCAATATAAAATGCATATTCATTGTACTAACTAGCTCCTAAAATAATATACTATTCTCATGCATAAATGAGGTAGCTAGAGGCAGAGTGGCCTAATAAAAAGAAGCAAGATTTTCAATAAGGAGGAAAATAAAAATGCGCCTTTAACTTAAGCAGAAAAAAAAAAGACATTGATTCTGTAAGATCACTGTGTTCTTGTCGATTAACAGTTTTAGACTATAAAAATATAAGTCAAGTCATAAAATTGCAGTTAGGCGACTTTGTCTCTAGCGGCTTTAAATTATTTTTAAAACTTAGTTACCTCTATATGGTACATAAATGTTTAGATACAGGCAGTCTTCTGACTCATTTTTTAAAAAGGGCTTCAGTCTATTCAAATAGTGTTGCCGTCCCAAAGAAGGAGGATTTCCCTTCTTGATGAGTGGTAGAGATTGTGGACAGACAGGCGCAAAACGCGTTGCCATTTTTACACCGGACCAGGGCGGAGCACTCACTGAAAAGATATATAAATACATATACTTATTATTTTATCAAAAAATGCATTGCAGCAGCCGTGGTCACGGGGAGATATATGTTTTTCTTATTATTTGTTATATTATAGTAATAAGTAGTTTGCAGGCCTCCGTAGTGTAATGGTAGGAATGTATGGCTAATAATCAACGTGGGTTCGATTTCCACCGGGTCCAACAATTTTCTAAGCAATCTATAACATTGCCTTCGTCTGGACATGTAGATATTTAATGGGTGGTAGGAATATTCAAATTCTATGTCATGAACTACAGATGAAAAAGCTGTCACAGATTAAACGCGGTTACTGTACGTGCCAAAGCCGAAATAGGTCGACAACGCATGTTACTTAGATGTTATATGTCTGGGGTATTTCACCTCCCATTCTTGTTTGCCATAGAAAAAAGTACCAGTGATGCTAACACCGCGATATTACTCTGTTTATATATTGTCGCCATTATATCTTCATATTCACGAAAACGATATTCAAATTAACTTAGTTGTTTATTAGTCTTAAATATAGAAGCAGTACAATATGAATGCTATAGGGATTTTAAGCTCTAATGACAGTGTAATAAGTTATATTTCAGTTTACCAGGTGGCATAAACCGCAAACTACCCACAGGGGGCGCGGCATACGGAACCCCCAGGAACATTTCAACAGGCTGCAAATCATACTGCTTCCCTGGTTTCACGATCATCCCTCGGAGGGCACCCTGTCGCAAATGATACTCCCTACTCAGACGTTTCTCATCATTCGGGAAAATGCGACTCTCTTCGTACACCTTCGCCTCGTCCGCAATCGGCAGCAAGAGCGAGACGGCAATACAAATAAACAAATTCTGATTTATAAACGGCGCGTGCTCTGCCATTTTGTGTATTTGCTCTTATTGCTCTCAAAATACATCAATGTTTTATGGTTTATTGTGACTCATTTGAAAAATGTTCGGGTGATCTTTACAGTCATTGGCGCGTTTGGAATGCAGTTCCATGACTGTTTAAAACATTTAACTTTTGTTGTCTATATTACTATAACACAATTATAAAAAAAACTCTTTAATTTTTAGTATACTTGTATAAACACTATTCCATTAAGTGTTTGAACCACACAATGTTATCACTTGGAAATGAACGACCGCGGTACCTATTCACTTTTTAATTGTGTCAATCCTCGAGTTTCACGAAAAGCGGCGAGATGCGTGCGCGCATTGCGAGTTACTGGATTCATTCCAATCTGTCCCTGCGCGATTCTAATACCGAAATACATAGGAATGCGTTACACATGTTCGATACATTCCGGGATAAAATAAGATGACGATATCTATATAATTATTTCTTCTGCATTACGACATTAACCTGTTTAAAAACACTTTTAAACGGTTATAAATGCGAAATTTATTAGTTAACCTATTATTAATTTATTTTAACTTCCTCCTTTCTTCCCCCCATGACCACGGCTGCTGCAAAGCTGTGTACAATGTAAAATGTGTACGACTCGCGTTAACTAGAGATATTATTTACGCGCTTCTTAATTTAAATTAAAGTAAAATTATTGAAATTAATATTATCCTTTTCGTAGCTATATATATCTTCTGTTTTTAAATTGACTAAACATTTTATAGGTGTTTAAATTTCTGTCAAAAATAGCTTTGGATTATTATTCATTACAGTCAACCGTTATCAAGAGACTTTATAAATCTTAAGATAAATCTCTGGCATTCAATACCATCTGTAGAGGACTAAAACGGGCACATCATTATAGAGTGGGGTATTTCAGGCCAAAATAACCACGTGCGCGCGGTAAACATCCGGACGGTAGCGGGTTTAAGGAAATAATAATGATCACTCAAAGCTCGTCTTTTATGTTACTCGAACAACCAAACAAACTGATTTTAGCACTTTCTAAATACCATTGAGCAGTAGTTTAACTTTTTATCTTATTATCTTCTATCTAGACTCAATAAGCTTTGTGCTCGAGAACTTCAATAATAATATACAGTTATGTATTAGAACACTGAATTTTTATTTGATTTTTTTCACACCGTTGTAATGCATGTCTTGGCTCGTGAAGATGTTAAGATACAAATATACTTACGTTTACTTTGATCTTTGACTCAGTGCAGATTAATTTCATTATATTGTCTTTGTGTATTATTTCAATCAATTATCAATAAATGCTCTAACCGACACAAAAAAATATTTTTTCAATTCGAACCAGTAGTTCCTGATATTACCGCGTTTAAACAAATCGACGCCCCCGAGCAAAACCAGTAATTGCAAAAGTCAAATTTTTCAGGAGAACAAATTTAGTGTTTTTTATATATTTTTTCAATGAATCAATATTGTTTCTGTTAAATATACCAATTCAAAGGTATTTTTATAGAATACCACATTTCGTAAAATTTCATTATATATAAAACATTTATGTATTACATAAAAGTATATTTACGTAAAATTATTTTGTAATATTTTAACTGTAATTTTTTACCACTATTTATAAAATGAAATTAGTAATATCAACTTACGAGATTATTGCGGTATTTCTAAAACAGAATAGTACAAAATAGCTATTACTTGCTATCAAGTTTTGTTGAAGAGCGTAAATGTAAAGTTCTAACTCATGTCGTGAATCTAAACCGTCTCAAATAGTATGAACTAGTACCAGAAAGCACTTTGAATTTGAAATTATTCTTCCTACTATATATCATAAAAGCTAGTCAAGTGGAAAATAATCAAACTATAGAGAATTCATACAAAATAAACTTTATTAAAGAAAAACAAATACGCATCGAATGAACTTTAGGTATAATTAAAATCAAATAAAAAAACTATGATGTGACTTAAAAATTAATTGTAATCAGTCATAATCTGAGGTTTCTTCAGTAATATATTAGCTTTCTCCTCAGAATACGTCAACGTAAAAATTATGGTAATATTTTGCAATTTGCTCCACTATTGAATAAATATATTAAGCCTGTGTTGAGTGCTTTGCTTATTGGAATAGTTTGCCGATACTAGAGCTATATTTTCAGTCGTTGAGCCAGTTTAATCTTGTCCCGTCGTCTAGTTTGCGTTGAGTGTACGGTGTCTAACTCCAAATACCCTCCATCTATATCGTATCGGAAAAAAACTTTCCTGGTTGTGATGGCGTTACGTGAACATCCATGACGTCTAGCCAACGAATGATATTTTCAATGGTATCCCGACACCAATGTGCAGGACTAACTTTTTAATATTTAAAATATCCGATTGGTCAATTTCTGTGATAGTGTATTTTTTTCGGTAACTCTTGAATTTAATAATATTATACATTTGTTCTAAGTAAAAAATAACTTTATTTTTTACATTGCGTTCGATGCAAGGGTGCATTGAATAACCTTGATTTTGGCTATGCCCTGTTTCAAAAAATCTTTGCGTTATGGACAGTTGTAGTTTTTTGCGGCAAAGACATATAAGGCAAAAATGTATTTATTTTTATTTTTCCCATAGCACCCATCAGAGTAGAATGATACTGTGCTTATTTCTTTTTCTCGTTCAGAATTTAAGAACATTAACAAACAACTACTAATTTCCGTACAGCCTTTTCGCCACACGACACATAGCAGTAACTTTTTTTACGTAAAGCGTCAAATCGTAAACAGGACACTTCCGTTTGTAATCAAAAATCCCTACATTACATTGTGTAATGTTAAAGACCTTTTGTAGGTCAAATATCACTACTGTACACTCTATTTTGGTCGAAAATATCCTTTTCCCCGTTTTTAATTTGCCTAATCCTTTATTTTATTTGTATGTGGCGTATGAAATTTTCTTCAAACTCTTCTTTTTTTGAGGGAGTAGCTTGCTATATAAGACGCAAGTACGCACTGACCTTTTTTGGGTTTAAAAAAGGAGTAGTTAAATTTGAATATTAAAAATATTTTTTTACTGCCGTTTAGTTGCCACGGTGACATTCCTGTAGTTTTGTTGTACATACCAGTCGGTGTACAAACGGTATAATTTTGATTTTAATATTTTCTGAAAGGTATTGACTACTAATCATTTTCTTGTAAAATGTGACTCTAGTGTTAGGAATAATTTAATACGTATTACGATACTCGTTTCTGTATCAATGCTCATTTTCCGAAATCTATTTGTATGTTTCTTCCTTTTATGATTTAAACCTTCATCTGATTGAGCCTTTTCAATAGCAGTATAAATCATAGTCTCTTACAAACAGTAAGTTCTGCACCTCCATAAAAAATAAAAATCTGATCGTTCGAGTACGATTATTTTTGCGTTGTAGGGCCATTCTATAATATTTTCTATCTTAACTTCTCTTGTTATTTCTGTATTTTAATCCTTATGAATAATGTTACTAACTAGTGCTGAAAAGGCCTGCTTCTTATTTTACTGCAATAATCTTGTAATGGCAAAAACCAAAACGTAACATGAATTATTTTACGGTATTACTATAATACCAATTATCAGTCATAAAATTTAAAAAGTTACAGTATGTAATTTTATTTTTGTCGTATAAAAATCAAACTGAAATTCCGTGCAATAAAACTTTCAATAGTCATATTTCGGTAATTATCCATAGAAAAAATCCAAAAAAAAATACATACATGAATTATGGCCCACAGATTTCAAATTTGCAATAAAAAAAATTCCAGTAATGTGCTATTACTGGGTTATTGCTCGGGGGCGTCGAAATGATCTCTTCAGCTTTATAATTTTAGTTTAGATTATTTCACATCTGTTCACGAAACACACAGCAATACTTACACCTAAAAATGACATCTAGAATCAATTGTTATAAACCGAAAAGATACGTTACTTATTAGTGTTTTTATTTAGTCTAAGCGCGTATTTATTTTCTTATTTTGTTAGTTCTCGTTAGTAACTTTATTATGTGAAGACACGTATTAATTGCAGTATAATAAGAAAATTCTAGGAATGTTTTTCATATCTCGAGTGACTGAACTGAGTAAGTCAAAAATACACGCACAAAACGACGATCAAACGCAGCTGCTCCGTTCTCGAGATATCGATGACAAAAAGACAAACAGACAAGATTGTGTATTGAAATAAGGGCATGGGCCCATTAGAGAGAAATTTTATTTTTACAACAAAAAAAAACAAAACTACCTAAGTAATATAATGTATATTGAATATTGGTTTTTTAATTGTTAAATAATATCTGTTTACGCGAGTAGTACCTTTAAATAAATCATATTTAACGGTTGAAAACGTGAAATATATTAGTTAATTTGGTTTAACGCCCCCTTTCGGAATCTATGATACCTTCAGCAACCGTGATCACAAAGGGCATTAAATTACAAATATGTAATATATTTCGCGCTTTAAACCTTTAAAATTATTTACTACAATGGGTAATTCTTGTTATTCTTTTAAATATAATTTTCATTAAAACCAAAGGACAATTTCTGATATTCGTTATAGAAATATACAAGCAAATGCAACCACGACAAATGTACTGGGTTACTTCTTAAGTGTGTGTTAAAAACAATTTAATTCTATAGAACAAAACGTATATTTCTTACAAAATCTATGCAGACTATTTACTAACTAAAACAATGACTATCCAATGTAGACAGACCTTAACCATATTTCTATTTGTGGCTACTAAACTTACTAGTGTTGTTTTAATTCGGTTACTCTTCGAAAATCCATGACCAATACTCCATGGTCTTTGAATATAGGTCTCATCTAAAAGATAGTTTTTGCACATTTTCAGAGACACACTTAACGGTTTAAAATGCGAAATATATTACAGTCCCTCTTTGACCACGGCTGCTCGAAGTATTCAATACGTTTGGTCGTAGTTAAAATAAATTAAAAATATCTTAATTTAAATATTTCTATAAAT